GAGCTCCACGTTCGCAAGATTTCTTTCCAAATTTTAAATTATTGTTTTTTTTTTGAGTCAATAAACAAGCTGAAAACTCGTAATTGAGATCCATACTTATTTATGTTTTGTTGAGTTGATTTTACTCAAATTTATAAATCCAAACCACGTTTCAAAGGAAGATATAAAAATGAGTTACTCCAACTCACTTTTGAGTTCCCTCAAACGAGCGTGATAGGCATCTTGATGTCATTGGTGACAACACTTTCAAACTTTCCGTTTCCGTTCCGCTTCTGCCCACATTGCGTTTGGGCGTTTAGTGCCTGGCACACAATGACAAGAAAAATTGTTACGAAAGCCGGTTGGATGCTGGTAGCCATAAAATTGTTGATTTCCATTCTAAAGACAGGAAAATTCAACAAAATGTTTTTCAACATTGGGTTACCTTTACCTATTTTACCTATTTCATTCGATTTATGGTTAGGTAATTTCCACTCCATAAATTCTTGATCAAAATTGCTCAAAATTGAGTTTTCTTTTTTAGCTTAATTGTAATGTTGGATACTTTTTTGTTTCCCGTGTACGAATGTATAAATACACTACCCGTCATAAGTATGGACTCGCATAGAAAAGTATTGCAACACTCATTTGAATATTGCATCATCTTGAAAAGTTTAGCATCACTCAAAGAAAATGGGTCAATGTGCTTGGAATTACTTCGGAAAGCAGTGAGTCACTTCAGAAGTGTTTTGAATCACATCGGAAAGTACATAACCACTTTAGGAAAATTTTGAATCACATCAGAAAAGTTTGAAATCACTTCAAAAAGAGCTGAATCACTTGAGTATAGTTCGAAATCACTTCGGAAAGTATCACTTTAGAACCACTTCTGAAAGTACTAAATCACTTTAAAAAATATTGAATCACTTCGGAAAGTAGTTCATCATTTCAGAAACCGCGGTGCCGGTAGTGTAGTGGTTAGCGTGATTGCCTCTCATCTCAAAAGACCTGAGTTATATCCCAGTCGGCTCCGCCGGGATTTTCTGAGGCATAATATCTCTTATCACGCCTTCCTTCGGAAGGAAAGTAAAGCCGTTGGTCCCCGGTTCATGAGTTGTTGGGTCGATAGGTAGGGTCCTGGTGTGGAAGCTTCTTTCCTGGCGTCAGTAGCATTGGCACTCAGTACGGAAAACAAGATCGACCGAAAAAAATCACTTCAGAAACGTTCAGAATCACTTCGGAAAATACTGAATCACTTCGGAAAATACTGAATCACTTTAGGAATGTTCAGAATCACTTCGAAACGGACTGGATTACCACAAATACTTAATAACTTATGAAAAGATTGAAATCACTTCAGAAAATGCTGAATCACTTCATATATGCTTTCATTCACTTCGGAAAATATTGAATCACTTCGGCATGTACAGTATCCCTCCGCTCATCCGAAAAAATCATTGCCGGACCCATGTTACAATTAGGGTTCTATGAGGGTTCTGTAGACTATGAATTAGATTTGTAGCATGGCTTAAAACCGCGATAAAACTTGCAATGTTACTTGGGGATTATCGGGAATCACTTATGAAGATTCTGAATCAGTTCCGAAAAGTTTGAAATCACTAGAAAGCACTGGATCACTTTAGTAATATTCAAAGTGTTTTTTATGTTACTTCATACGCGAAGTTAACGATTTTCAGAGTTGGTTGGAAATGCTAACATGAAGCTTTAGTGTGATGATTTATTAGCTAGAGAATGATCTTTAGAAGAGTGTAGGTGGATAGTTCCGTTAGAGTACGGCAGTATGAAAATTGAATAGAAGTTGAAAATGAGCGAAGGGCCATTAAAGCGACAGTTTTCAAGATAGACGTGCCACAGCCGCAGTCAGTTTATGAGCAACAAGAGGGACGCACATTTTTGCCTGTGGACTTGGAGACATACTTCAAGTCCCCGCGTACATCGTACGGGCTAGGCAAAATGTGCGTCTATCTTGAAAACTGTCGCTTTAATGGCCCTTCGCTCATTTTCAACTTCTATTCAATTTTCATACTGCCGTACTCTAACGGAACTATCCACCTACACTCTTCTAAAGATCATTCTCTAGCTAATAAATCATCACACTAAAGCTTCATGTTAGCATTTCCAACCAACTCTGACTTTAGTAATGTTCGGATTCACTTCGGGAGGTACTAAATCACTTCGGAAAAGATTAAAATTATTTCAGAATTAATTGAATCACTTCAGAAGGGTTTAGAATCACTTTGCAAAGTACTGAAACCCTCCAAAAAATTTGGATTCACTGCGAAAAGGAATGAATCATTCCAGGAATTTTGTAATGACTTCCACAAGGCCGGAATCACTTCTTAAAATTGTAACCACTTTGTAATGCCCTGAATCACTTCAAAAATGCTCGGAATTACTTCGGCACATACTTAATCACTTTAGGAATTTTTGGAATCACTTCGGAAGTACTGAATTGCTTCAGAAAAAGTGGCAAACTTTTCGGAAAGTACTGCACCATATCAAAAAGTTTGAATCCCTTCACAAAGTACTGAATACCTTCAGAAAAGTTTGGAATCACTTCGGTAAGTACGGAATCATTCCAGAAAGCTTGTAATCACCCAATAAATAATTCAAGCTGAAGAACAGAAGCTGGTTAGTGATTGATTTAAGGTGCACACATATGTTTGAAACCATGCTGAATATATTGCTGATTAGTAATGCATAAAGCGAATTTTATCCCCATAACTTAACCTCAACAAATTAGCTGAACTATAGACTGAACAATACTTATTTAAGCTTAAAACTACTCCACAAATCAGCAATGCGCTACACATATTTTGATAGCCTGATGAATCTATTGCACAATATTGTTAAATGTCGTCAGTGTCTAGCGGTGCTTTTCCATGATTTAATCCTTTTCTAAATTTACTCGCACCGTTTCTAATCCCAAGCAGCGAGACAAGAAATATATCCAGGTAGAAGTGGACTGCGACGACGTATCCATGTGTTTTGAATTGTTAAGATGTGCACTGCATCTCGATTAGATGTGCACTGCATTTTCAAACCACATTCCAAAAATATAATCCAATTATGACACTTAAAAAGCATTCAAATGACCATCGAAATAAATGGCGCATTTGTTTACTGCACTTGAATTTGAGAGGAATGTTTTACTGTCACCATTTGTCACCAATCTTCCGGTTCCTATTATTAAACTGAAATGATCATACCTAATGCAACATATATGCTTAAGTGGTCCAGTAAATATGGTTGACGCCTGCTAATCAGTGATTGCCGGTTTAAATCCCGAAATGCAACGGTCATTTTTTGACACATTACAACAATATAAACATTTAAAGCCAATTTATCAACCATGAAATGTTTTAACTAAAACTAGAAGACTGCACACGGGTTGAAAAATACTGTTATTTAATGCCTTAAAATGCTTAAAATTTATGTCACTGTTAAGCTTTCGGCTGATTAAAATCACCATATTTAAAAGTTTTAAAGCTGAACAACGATTAACCCAACTAACATTTTCCGCTTTATAAGCCAACTTTTCCAGCGTTGTGCTGTAAAGTAGCTGAAAAAAGCTGCAGATACAGCTGACGCATTTCGCGCCAAATCGTAGTCGGAGCTGGCAGCACCCTCTCAGATTTCAATGAAACTTTCTGGATGTGTGGACCTTGACTAAATATGCCACTTTGCATACTTAGTTTTTCCAAAATTTATCTAGACTAACATTTGAGAAGGGCCAAACTTTTCAGCCGATTTTTTTTCAAAAAAATATTATGGAAAAATGACAACTCCTACAAAAATGTGTTGTATGGATGACTTTTAGGAAATTGTCCAAGTTATCGAAAAAAAATATGGTGGTATATTCCGTGTCCTTAGTTTAATGCATGTCGTATTACTCCATCACTATTGAGAAATGATGAAGTATTCGGTTTTGATACAATTGTCATTCTTGCTCTCATCGCAAGGAACCGATTATAATTGAAAGTACTCGCTATTTATGTCCTTCGAAGATATAAAACACCCTCCGCTCCCCTTTGTCAGTTAAAATAGGATTTCTTAGCAACAAAACAAAGCAATGACATCAATATTGACCACACATCAGAGCCGTAGTCTAAATCACTTCATTATAGGTTCGTTACTCTGTTAACTTTAAAAATGATGTTTATCATTCGATGACTTGGCTGTTATTGAACTTTAACTTTAAAAAAGGAGATGCGTAGGGCATATCCCAAGTAACAATTTTGGTTTTATGAGGGTTCTGTAGACCATGATTTAGACTTGTAGAATGCTATAAAACATCAATAAAGCTTGCAATGTTACTTGGTATATTGTCAATGTGTCCACTGTTTGTTATGCCCTGCTTAAAAGTGTTGTTGAATGGAAAACACGATTTAACCTTCCTAGTGCATTGGGGTCATTTTTAGCCTGGAAACACTGTGTATTTTTTTCCTAATGTATTAGTAAGGTAAAACACATAGACATTAAACACATAGACATTAAACATGACCAGGTTGAGAATGGTCTCAAAACGTCCCCTTACCGAGAAATAGCTTTTCTATGTACGTACAACAAATTAACCCGTATTCAAATTGACTAGCTATATGCAGCTTGGTATGCTGAGATATTTCACTACCATTCAGCGCTTTGCACGCACAGCCACGGATTAGATGCCGTAATTGGATATACACACCATCACGGATTTTCCAACAAGCGCCTCCACCATAGCAAGGTTTGTTTCACTTTAACGCTCTACTTTCGACTCCTTCTAGGCAATGTGTTCAACAACCGCTCTTTTCTCAGTATACACATGAATATGTGTTTGTAGTACAACGTTAATACAAGACAAACGTGATGGAACGTACCGTCTATCACCAGCGCAGCGCCACATACAATGTGAACGGATTGACCGAAGGCTTAGCTTGATTAGGCTTTTCGCTCACGTGAATAAACCGTTTGATCGACATAAAAATTCTAATGAGCCCAACCTTCTTTCTCTTTTCCAGATGTCTCGACGACAACCGCCGTATCCAGCACAATGCCAAACAATGCCATAGAAGCAGAAAGTTCCTCCTCGACCACGATACCGTTAGGTGTTCTACCATTAAGCAAAGACAACGTGAGCCAAAATGAATCGTTAGCCAAAGAAAACGCGGAAAGCACAATAAATCCCGATAGCAGCAGTACTGTTGCATCCGACTATGCCCCAGAGCCATCACTGATGGAAACAACAACTTCCCACTTGATCTCGTCTGATCCCGTCACCAATGAGGTAAGCACCGAATCCGATGTTGCTACCAAGCACGCTGGCACTGAATCCGGTGTGACCTCGATCGAAGAATCATCAACATCAACCCAGCAGAAACCGGTTCTGCTGCATGTGAAGACACCCGAAGAGGTCAACAACGATCGAAATCCGGCCAATCCGCCTTCCATATTGGATCACTTTGTTCCGGTCGGTGAAAGCTCGTCGGAAGAGTTGCTTAAAATGAGTGACATGAGATCATCATCGGACGAGGTGACTCCTCGCGGTCGTGCCATTAACTTTGGCTCTGCCGATGGGCCAATCAATTTCGTTACAGCCCCCGACCTGGCAACCACCGGGATGACCACCAAAGGCCCAACGACTGAAACACCGGCAACGACGATGGGTCATGAGAAAAAGCAACACCACATCGAACTGCCGGAACTTTCCGATATCAGCATGGAAGATGACGAGGAAGAGGAGGCTGGGCAAAAGGGCAATGAGCAGATGGACCACAACAAGACCATGAAACACATGATGGTCGTCGATGAGTGCATCTACAATGGCGTCGAGTACAAGGTAATTATCGTTGCTTGGATTGTCTCTCTAACGATGGATTTTTGTGGCTGCAGCCACATGTGGGCAGGTGTGCCGTGAAAATGTGGGCCAGTAGTGGAAGTGTATGGTGAGGTTGGCACCGTTTACGATGATTGTTGAGGGAAATGAAATTAATTGCCTGTAAAATGCGGTTTCATGCCTTTCCAGATGGGTACCCGTGGAATTCGCTCCGGTTGTGATTGCTTAGCAACTACCCACGTGAACCATGGGACGGTTCTAGTCGGTTTTTTTATTACTCCGCAGCAGTAGGAAGCCAAATGGGTATTTTGTGTGAGCAATAAAACGCTAACACAGGATGGGAAAATTGAACGGTTATTGAAACAACTCAATTCTAGTAAAACATATAAGTAAATGCATACAAATCGACGAACGGGACGGGTTTAGCAGTTAAGTGCAACGAGTGTTTGAAAAGATAATCGATAATTTTACAAAACGGCTTACTCTTCCTATTAGTTCTTAAGTAAGTTTTTGAGTAACAGTATTTCCTTATTCCTCAAGTTGCATGGATCGATAAATATGTTAAACGTGCATAACGCTCTTAAATGGTGATTATAAATAGACGCACATTTTAAACTACAAAAAGGGCTGATACCGGATGAGTCACTATGGTCTTACATTTGAATTGTGACCCTATTAGGCCTAAGTAAAAGCATTCGAATCCCAAATGAGTCTTTTTTCATGTATCCTGGGCACCATCAGTGCTGCAAAGGTCCAACATGAAAGATTTCCATCCTGGGAGGCTGCTTGCTTTTGCTTTAACCTGGGCCCAGGATAAATTCCTATCGAATTGTTAAATATTCGTGTCTGGCGGGGTCTGCCACTGCTGCGATGTTCTGCTTGCAGATTTAGTTTCCACTCCCTCGTAGTGTGTGGCCAAACAATTTCTACTTACGTCCCAGAATTTCAGTTGATATCGGCTTATGTCATCGATGATAGAGCTCCGCATTTGAGTTCCAGTTGTGGAGCCGCCATGCACGAATTATGAACCGCAGACAACGGTTGATGAAAACCTGCAGCTGTGCAGTGTTCTCCACTAATTCCATGTCTCACTGTCGTATAACATCACAGATTTAACATTCGAGTTGAAATTTCAGATATTGTTACGTTGACTAATCAGGTTTGATATTTCGTAAACTCACAAACCCAGACAACCAGAAGTCGTATAACAATGCACAGATAGAATCGTAAAATACTGAGCATGAGCATGATTGACCGCCCACGGTTGCTACTCTGCTATTGCCAGATCAGCTTGTAGCGGTATTCTGACTAGATATTAAATTAATGTAGCATGAAGTTCAAATGCTAAGTTTTCTCATTTGAAATGGTGCGTAAGTTTCCTCATTTGAAATTTGATCCGTGGGATTGAGTATAATCTCCCAGTAGGATTGCTTGTCATCGGAAATTTAATAATAAGAAAAACACTGTAAGTTAAAGATTGGAATGAGATAGACAGATATGGGATACTTGAGAGGAAAAGAGATAGTATCTCTGATCGAATCGGAAGGTAATCGGATATAGCCTTTTGATAAGATCGTTTTTTTTTTCGGTTTTCGGAACGAAGGCCAAGAATTGTTTTAGCGGCCTTTCTGAAGAATCCCAAGTTCTTTCTCGTCCACTTTAATCCAACCCGTGGAAGAGGCAGGACTGTGAAGTTTTTTGGTATAGTTCGCGGTGTGTTTGTAGAGGTATATTTAAATGTGAGAAGTGTCTTTAAGTTCAGTGTAATTAATTGTTCGTTAATTCCTTTTGATTAGGTGTAGTTACTATTGAATTAATTTAGTAGGCTAGTGCGGTACTGTGCGCGATTTAAAAAAAGGTAAATTATTTGCTCTGCAGTTTTGCAACAATGCGCTCCTCCAGTTGAACAACCGTTTGACGGCCTTTTGTCTATAGTTTATCCCACCTCTCGCTTGGCATACCACGCCCCTTCATTATTACCACTACCCTGACCCCACGTGTCGGCATTAAAGGACCTAACATCGGCTGGAGTTAGAAGGGAGCTGCGCCGTCTATATCGCGCTCCAGGTGAGCAATTTTGCCCCATCGAGACTCGCACCCAATTTGGTGAGTCCATTATATTCCGTGCAGCGAGCGTTGCAGGGGCGACAGACGATGGTGAGGAGCAGTCGGTAAAGCAGAAGCGGGAGTCGAACCGTAAAATGTCCGCATGCATGCATTAAATCTGGATGAAGCGCCATAGCCATTTAGAAAATCCGCATAGTTTGCTAGGGAATTAGAGAGAGAGTAAAGAGAAGAATGATGGTTCCCGAATAAAAATGTTTAGGTTAATAAATTTCTCGTTCCATTAGTTTTTTTTCTAAATAAATGTGTTTTTTTTTAATTCTACTAAATAATTGTTTTGTTTTTTAGGTTAGAATTTCCCGTTCAATGAGTGCACTGGTCTGAAGAAGTTTTTCACGTTTCGTTCGTTGTTGTAGTTTTTCGTTGTTTGGTTTTACTCAAAGTCGGACTGCTTGGGAATCTCAGCCACCATTTCTATCCTAAAGCGTGTAGATTTTGTGTTTGGGGAAGAGCTTGACCTGTGATGAGAACAGGCCACCCAGTGCATTTGCTCCGGTAGAAAGATGGTTTCTGATTCGTTTTCATTCGGTTGGATTTAGTGTTTTCTTTCGAATCCTTAATGTCTACTAGCGCGTTCCAATCCTTTGCGTTAGACTGAACCCGCCCTGGGGTTTTGAGTTTGCCGGGCATCCGAAACGACCTCTATGGAGGTGGCGCTTAAGCCATTTGTTTTAAACCAATCTTCGGAACACCCTAGTAGACCAATTTTGGCTCGCCGACTTCATGCCGGCTACAAGCTGTAATTACACAGATAATAAATAGACGATGCTTGGGACTGGCAATCATCCTCAATGTGTAAAAACTGGTGATCTCAAACTAGGCAATACCAGCACCGGCCGCGCCCGAACACAGGCCAAGAAAAGAATGGAAGCCGAGAAAACTCTGAACTTCCACGAGGAATCACTGGGATATTGGATAAGAGGGTTGTGATTACTGAATTGATGTCCTAACGATCATATAACGCGAAGGAGCTTTGTATTGAACCCACGAGCTTCTGCTCAGTAAGCAAAAACGTTTGCCACTAGGTAAACGAGCTCCTTTTTAATCATCAAGTTGCGGTTATTACCATGTAGTCATAATAACAAATAAACCGATTGACGAGTCTTAAATGTGGATAGGCCTGAGATTAGACACATGATGTTCTGCTCAGTAAGCAGAAATGATCGCTCTAAGGCCAACGAGCCCCTCATATCACATCACATCTTTACTCGAGTTGTTGTAACCATTCAAACTCGGCACCGGTGACGACAAGTTTCTCAAAATACACGATAACCAAGCGATTTGACCATAAATTTCTATAATATTAAAGAACCTGGGACCTTGTTTTTCTGTTCAGTAAGCAAGCCCCTGCTACCGACGATCTTTCAACTCCGAAAACCAAAAGCTACGAAAAAGCACTTAGGTCTTCATTGAGTTCCACTTTCTATTTCTATCGTGCCTCTTACATCATAACAAGCTATGACCGACGTAACAATTGTTAAGGCCCTGATTAAACAAGATATTAAAATGAAATTACGTTCGACTTCCATCTGCTTAGAATATCGTTGTACTTGACACACAATTTACGGATGAAAAAACGGTACAGGTTTTGAAAGCTCTCAACTAACAACTGTGACAGTGCTCAAACCACACTTAGTTGAAGGAAGGCCTCAGTTCGGATATAAATGTAGTGAATTATAAGATGTGCTAAAAGAACTGCAATTTCCAGAGCAATGCAGCATTTAACACACACAAAAGCACCCAACGTTTTTCAAGTTCACCCATTACCCGATGCACTCGCTTCGAGTTAATGATACATGAAAAGCAGTCCGATACTGGCGAACCATCTCACCTTCTATTGTCTCACCACATTACTGCAAGTAGGTTAAAATAGAGTTTTCTCCGCCCGTGATAAGAAATCATTCCCATATTTACACACAGACACAATAACGCCTCCACGGTCACCGGTATACCTCATGCACGCTGCAAGTAGATGCTGACCTTGAACTTAAAAGAAAATGAATGCACAACAGCAACCCGGAGATAATTACATTCAGACCCAGGTTGACCCCGAAGGCCTTTTTCGTAGTACTCTAACACAATGATGCTATTTGTTACACATACGTGTTGCGCAATCATTAATATTAGTGTGCTAAAATTTACCACCAATTCATCGCGCCATTGCCAAACAGGATTTTATCTTTGTCTTTTGCTTCCGTTTCCAGCGGCAATTAAAACAATATATTCCAAAAACCAAATCTATCGCACAATTGTGGCTGCACATTGAATTATTGTGATTGGGCGAAAGAAAAGAATTACATTAATAGGTTTGAATTTGTATTTCACGGAATCGAGTCGAGTCCAGCAACCAGCGCTCATTAGATATGCGAGACTAATTTTGGACAATAGCTCGAATGACTGCTGACGAAGATAGTGGTAGAACCGGTCACAGCAGGTGATTAATTAACATACTAGAGCTGAGCTGTAATTTGATTACAGAAGTTTTTATAGGGTCCCGAAAGCAGGCTTGGGTAGTGAATCGAGACATCCGTACATATGTATGCCGCTTTCGTTGTTGCGTTGTAGCGAACGTAAGCCCAATGTATGATCATGGATCACTAGACTGATGCAAAATTTGAAATTTTCGCTCCACAGTGCTCAAACGGTTCCAAATTGGGCCCTGATTAGCCTCCCAAAATTTGAACTCATTTAGTGAGAAACTGACTTGGCACAAACCGTTTGAAGTTTATATGGGAATTACTATGGATAAACCATAATTTCGGTTCATATCTATCTCAAAATTCACCAGTACACTTTACTCAAGAAAATGAGAGCTGAGCTTGTTGAAAATTTTATCAGCTACAACTTTGTGAGATACCGCTTTTTGATCAAATATAAGG